GTATATTAATTACAATTATGGCAGTTAATGAAATGCTTGAAATAAATTATAAATAAAATATGAAGTTTAGTGGCAACGATGTAAAAACATAGAAATACTACGACCTCTTATATCCTACTGGTCATTTAAATTTGAAATTGGGTTTTACACATAGATTTAGAGTGATGGGTATATGTCTAGGAAATAGAAAATATAGGGATCTATATTGGACAAGCCCTTTAATTTATTATAGACACGGGATACATATGCTTTTCTTTCATGATGCATTCTAAAACTTTACTTGGAAAGTACTTACAGAGTCTCCCAATACATCTGTTACGTCTTCACGTTTCCACAATCTACTAAATTTTTCAGGCTGACCGCGGGCATTTTCATAAACGATCTCTCTTCCCATGTCTCGAAGCAAATCATGCATCATCAGCTCCTTTTGCTCACTAACAGTTACAAGGCACCGTTCAATGAGGACACGGATTCCTATCACTGCAGAGAAGCCACATCCCTTTAATATTTGTGTTACATAGTCCTTGTCCATTCCTATAAAGAAACAAGATATATCAAGGAATATTTCTCTCTTTTCCTGATCAGGTAGCCCGTCAAAGCTTATTCTGAGTATTTTTTGAATATCTCCATCAGGACTTCTTTCCAATTTCTCCAGATGGCTTTCCCACTCCGCTGTGGGTCTTTTAATCAGAAAAGACCCTACAACTTCAAGTGCTAGAGGCAAGCCTTGACAGTAACGAATTACACGTTTTGAGAGGTCAAGATATTCTTGATTAGGATAACCACTTTCAAAGGCATGCCAACCAAAGAGCTCTAGAGCTTCTTTTTCATCCATTTCTTGAGCCATATATATGCCATCCACTCCAACTTGGTCTAGCAAATGTTGATTTCTTGTTGTTATAACAATTCTACTTCCAGGACCAAACCAATCACGAGCTCTAGCTATTGCTTTTAGTTGCTGTAGATCATCTGCATCGTCAATTATGACAAGTGCTCTTTTACAGGGAAGTCTTTTTCTTATCATCTCGATCCCTTTAGCAACAGAGTCAAACTTTATGTGGCCCTTGCTTTTCAAGATATCATTTAGAAGTTGTTTTTGCAAACCAACCAGACCAGTAATGGGTTGGTTTGCAATTACTTCCCTCACGTTTGCAAGGAAACTCCTACCTTCAAAGCTACCTTCAAATTTGTTATAAATGGCTTTGGCAAGCGTTGTTTTCCCAATGCCGCCCATCCCCCAAATACCAATCATGCGAACAACATCCTTAGAACCTGAATTTTCAATATCAATCATGCGAACAACATTGTTCAGCCGAGAAGTAATTCCAACAAGGTGTTCGATGTCTAATTGGTATTTGCTGTACAACTGCTTATTAACCTCCCCAAGAATTTTCTTGATAAACTTTGCTTCACGCCTGGCAATTAAACAAAGAAGCAGAACTACCAATCATTCGATGTGGAACAAACTACAAGGTTAAATTGAATCCCTAACTTAATAATTTAGAATGACCAAATTATTTTCTTTTTTTATACTAAGATATAATTAACAATTAAGATTGGGATTTAACATCAAATGTTAAATGGATCTTACATTATCAAGTAAGAAAGAATGCTTATTTAAAACCAAACCAAACCAAACCAAACCAAACCAAACCAAACCAAACAAACAAACACCAAAGTTCAAAGTCAAAAAGAAAACATAGTTGGAAAAACAAAAACAAAAAGGACAGAAAACATATGGTTGTCAAGTAAGGAGATGATAATCCAAGGAACAAGAAATTAGTAATTACCCATTGTCAGCATTTTTAAGATCTTCCCCACACAAATCTGCTGCTTGACTGAGAGCATTTCTCCATCGCTGTACCTTTTCTTTATCATGTTTGCCCACTTCATGTTTCTCAAAAGCTTGTGCAAAACTACCAGTTTGTTTCCGGACATCTGAAGCCTCAACATTATAGAACAATGGAATAACTTGTTGCCCCAATCGTTCTCTACACTCCATGATCTTAACCAGCTCGTCAAGACACCAACTGGAATCGGCATAACGCTCGGAGAAGACAATTATGGAGATCATGGACCCGTCGATTGCCTGCTCCAGTTGGGGTTTTATAAATTCCGCTCTTTCTAGCTCGTTGTCGTCAAGAAAGGCGCTGATTCCGGCATCAGATAATGCGGCGTGGAGGTGGCCTGTGAAGCCCTTGCGTGTGTCTTCACCTCTGAAGCTCAAGAACACGTCGTACTTCCAACGTTTTGATGAGGAGGATGGTGAGGATGAAGAGGAGGCTTTATGGGCTTTCCTGGCATCCATTAATTGATACTGGTTCAGATCAGACCAGCTACAAATTATGCACAAGTTGGCCTTCCGATCCGATTTGAGCAGAAGTTATTTCGTAATTAATTATTTTTTCTGGGCAGTGGTTTGTGTGTTACATCGCAGATGTATAAATTCAAAATATGCATAGTCAAGGTCCTAAAACGTCTCAGTGCCAGTTTGGCATTACTTATTTGCGGTGATAAGTGATTTTTAAAAAATTTTAAGAAGCCCAACCCATTTGATAAACTGTAAGAAAATTACTTATTGTTAAAAATTGTTGTGAGAGAAAGTTATAAGGGAAAGCAGCTAATGAGGTACTTTTATTTTCTGATTATGCAGGAATCAATTTCGAAGAGGCGCTGTGTTTAATGATTATGCGGCAATCATTTTCTAATTATGCATAAAATCAAATACCAACAACACTTTTAACAAAAATTTTACTAAACCCCAAACTGCTTTCTCTCACAGCTGATTTCTCTCACAGAAAATCTGACAGCGATTATTTTCACAGCACAGCAATGCCAAACTGGTCCAATCGACAAAAGCTAAAGTTCCCATGTGGGGAGAACAGTGAAAAGATAATTTTTTTTTTGGCTACACGATCTACTGGACGGCTAAGATTGAAGGTCAGGAAAATGCAAGGAAGCGGCATGGAAAGAGAGGGAAGACACGAGCACAGTGTCCAATCAAAAAAGAAAAAGAAAAAAGAAGAAGAGAAACACAAGTCTTGTACTCAGCTCCACCTCTCCAGCTTTATAGTGGTTATCTTTTCAAGTTAACTCTCACACAAGCTGGAACAACTCTCATGGAGGAGTCAACTTCATCGGAGCAATGGAAGTTCCAATCGGACTTATTCAATTTGATTGACCGTCACCAACACTTTCTTCGAACATGCTTTAGTGTGTGACAATATGAGAGGGCTACGACGTCACCGGTCCAAATGCTTCCACATTTCAATACGTTATTCATGAAGGAGTCAACTTTATTTGAGCATCATAAGTTGCTCTTCAGCTTGATAGCAAATTTTGGACATGTATCGGCCATATTGCATGAACCAAATAATACATTCTTGTCTTTCAATCAACTTGGATAGGAAAAATCATGAGAATAGCTCTGAGAATTCCTCCATTTTACTCCAGAGGCCGAGTTGAGAACTTTCAACGACTGCGATTAAAAACTCACAAGAATAAGCGAAGACTCCGACGGTTGCATTAAATCAAAGCCTCCCAGTGGCCAAAGTCAGGTTGAACCTCCTCTCGCGCCAACAGTCGGGCTGAGGGGATGCTCAAAAATAAAAATTGTTTCTACCAAAAAAATGCACTTTTTAGCCAAATTCTTTATTAGTTTTGCCCAAATTATACAGAGGTTGGAGATCAATTCTAACAGGAAAATGTGAATTCGAAAAGGAAAGTGAAAATTTGAGTGAAAGCTGAAGCAGCTACTAATTTATCAGAAGGGGAAGAGGTCGCACAAATCATATGCCAAAATCAGAGCTGTTAAAATTGACTTGTTTGATAAATTCAGAAAGAAATTGGCATTGCAAGAGTCCAATTAAGACAAGACTTTCCCATCACCACCATGTCTGCCAACACCACGATTGTGACATCCACCAGCATCAAATGGATGACGACCATCCAGAACCACCAGAAAATAATGCGCGAGTCAAGGCCAACCCCTCCGAACACCCGAAAAACAAGGAATTGGTTTGTGGAAATCAAAGTATAACAGAACGTTCGGTAGCCATGCAATACGAATCAACACCAAAGGGGCAATACAAATCATGAACCGAGAATCAGGGTAACAATAAGCTCTGATATTAAAATGCTGTTAAACCCTGTTATCAGGGCAGAAACTGAGTTCAGAACAAATTTAACAAACAATTTCCTACCATAAAGTTACAAGAAATATAAATTCATATCAGAAGAGGAAAAGAAAAGGTGAGAAAGAGAATGAATGATTGTCAATGGTCTTTTCTGCTTACCAAACCGTCTATTTACTCTTTTCTATTCACAAGCCAATTTGGTGTCAAAGCTGCTCAAGCAGATGGCAAAAGCCTGAAATGCAGATAGAGGATAACGATAATCCATTGTGAACATATCTTTACCAACCTTGCCAAACTGCAAGATTATCTTATCAAGCTCGGGAGGCGTTGGCTGAGATGGAGTAGGTGCACCAGCAGCAGGCTGAGTGGCAGCAATCAACTGAAAGTTCTTAACAGAAGCAACAGTTACCCGACCTCGGAAGTTCAGACACCAACACTGTAGTTGTTCATGCCATCGTGGAGGCTTGTTTTTCAAAACCAAGGGTCTTGTCTTGCCATCCTCATCATCTCGGGGTCCAACAATTTCAGAAAATCGTGCACTACTGAATTCAACTGAGTGGTCAAGAGACTTGGAGAAAGATACGCTTCGGAAGGAGTCTTCCAGGGAGCGGGTAAGGAGTTCCGGTTGGCCAGGGACAGAACCTCCTGCATCAAGAGATGAGACCGGGATAGAATGCATTATGCAATGCATCCTTCTAGGGCCACGAGTGCCTAACACATTTAGCTCATATGTTATCTGAGCAATGTTATAGCTGCCAGTAGGGACTTTTGGGGAGACTTTTTTGGAATTAAATCTACGGCTTGTCCGCCCTGGTGGGGGAATATGTTCAGAAGTGTATGCAGGCTGCGTATCGTATACAATGAATTTTGTGCCAAGAAAGTTTGACCTGGGAAAAGAAACAAAGTTGGATGCTTCAAAACAAAATTTCTAACAGGTTATACAATCCAACTTATAGCTGCCAGTAAAACAAATAAATGATTAAACATTACAAGATCAACTATTCTTTTAAGTCTATCCCGTCACACCCATCCCTATTAGTACTACACAATAGAAGACACGTCTAGTCATGCTTTACATTAATTGTTTTAACGCATGCCAAGAAAATTACATTAATGAGAGCTCTTTTAAGAAATTTATGTTATAATTTATAAGAAATAACAAACTAACCAAAAACAGGATTAGAATCAATAGCTATAAAACCAACTGTTCGTTTGAGAAATGCAAGAACAATGTGTTACTTTGATTGTGTATTCTTGTGAAGCGACCAACAAAAAAAAAATACATTTTCAGTCTTTTTAAATCATGTTCTTAATTACCTTAACTTTCCAATGTAAGCACTGCTTGATCTTGAAATGTTGTCAGCATCCATAGAAATGACATATTCTGTACAAGTAGTTCGTCGAGTCCTCTTTGCAGAAAGAAGGAATTTCCCATTCTCCACTAGCAAAGCTGCCAAATTGGAGTGACAAAATAAAACACAAAATTAACTTGGAAGCCGTACGTAAAGTTCAGAGAAACATGGGGGCTATAGATGGGCTGGTCTTGATCAGGACAGCATAACAATCCATTATTCAAAATGGTAAACATAATTTAAAAATCTTGGAAACACATCTATGAAAAAGGTTGACAGAACATGACTCATGATTTCTAGGACATTTCTAACAGAAAACCAACATGTCTGACATGAAAATGGTAGATGCGTATGCTGATAGTTAACATATCTATTAATCTTGCAGACTTTCAAGGACTACCATGCAGTTTAAAAAGTAGTTATTTTTGTTTAACGCTTTACTACCTATTGTTATTATGCATGCTAGGAAAGACCAAAAGATGTATAGAGATGCATTGTAAATTCACCAAGGCATGCGTCCAACTTTATCCCTGGTCTAGAAGTTACCCACTTACTTTGACACCCCTGTGTTCACTAATAGTATGTTAAAATGAAATAAAAGAACCTATTAGGAAAAATGTATTAGCAACTGACATTTTCACAACACCATTAAAACCTTGCAGGCTGACAAATTAATTAGTTATTTTTATCACACCACACCATTACATAACCTACCCTACTTTACATTAAGGCCTATTAGCTTCTTCAGTCTGATAAAGTTGTGACATAAATTACGATACTTAACACAAGGAAAAAGGATGGAAACATTAAATTTTTGCTAATGATAACATTAAAGACAACTTAATTGAAATTCTAAAGGACGACAGAAACTTGAGTGTTGGACCATAAAGTTGCAGAGCTTCCCATGTTCTGCATCAATATCAGCTGCCAAGTCTAGCTATGATTTATTTTACTACCCAAAAGTCAGTTGGGAAAGACAGCGCCTAATACGAGTTAATAAATAATTTGGTATTCACTGGACCAAACTTTCCCCTCTTGAGTCTCCCTTGTGTGATTAAAATAGGCAATTAAATAAAGTATGCAAGTTATTTAGAGTCAAAAAAGTATAACTGGTCCAGCGTTTAAACCTATGTCGACAGGCAGTAGGCAAAATCTTCCACTGCAAAATAATGGGATTTTAACGAATAATCTTACAAAAGTTTGTATACGAAACGCTCTCTTGGATTCTCTTGAGAGGGTTTATGTATTTTTAACTATTTTTTCTCAATCAAAGCGAGGTTCTCTTTCAAACTTTGATGATTAACTGGTGAAATAATCAATTGAAAAGTGAGGAAGTGAATGGGGGTTTATATAGGCTTTGAGAAGAGTGTGATCAAAATGAACATTCATTCTCACTATTTAGGTTTATCCGAAATGCCAGGACTCTTCATGAATATTCCATATTCATGTTCACCATACACCTATTTAATTGGATTCATCCTCTATTAGAGAAGAGAGGCTATCTCAATCAATACATGACATGCACACAAAGTTTCTCCTTACATTTGACCATGTTTGATCAGATCATCATTCAAATCAAAGATATCTACCTAAAATAGATATTCAGCCCTTTTCCAAGTCAACCTGAATAAATTAAGGACTCCTACATTTCATAACCAGACTACTTGAAATCAAAAATTGGTAAACATTCATATATATAGAAGATGAGGCATTTTAACCTGATACACACCAGTATATGAATGGAAATCAATGATTGACAAGCATTAAAAGTGAGATTTTTTGGGGCGCTGAAAAATGAGACTATTAATTGATAAATAAATGCTAACTCACATTTAGAAATATTTGATCGATGGATAAATGGGTCGACAGGCTACTAGAGCCAGCAACAAATCAAATAAAATCAAATGGTTAGAAAAGATGCTCACCAGGGCTAAGACACAGAAACAGGTGGTATGTTAGATTAGATTTATCCCTTTTAATGAAGCATTGAACGAGTCCATCTCGTGGACCAGGCTGAAAAACCAAACAAAAAAGAAAATTTGGTAAGTGCTTTTCCCAACATCATAGGATGTCCAATTGCTTTAATAAAAATAATTATCTCCCACAAAATGCAACATATACAGAATCTTAGTAACTTTGATTTCAATACAAACTTGGGAAAGAAAAAACATATCAGCACAAATTAAAGGATTCCAACCTGCTTCAGCGACACAGGAAAAGTGAGCTTCCCGCAGATCTCAGGACTCTTAACAATTTCTTTGCACATGGTCCTCCAAGAACGACAAACTGAGGCGCATGCAACAACATGCTTTCGAGAAGGCCATGTGCTCTCACTCTCCTCCAACCTCCTAATTACATCATACAATAGTTCTGGGGGAAGGCTAGCCCAACGACTGTTCTGAACAATGAGAGGCTGGTCATGTAAATCATTTAATGACCCATGAGATTTTCCTCTATGATGGCCCATCAGCCTGACTTCAAAACCCCGTCTGGACAAGCTTCCAAAGCCATCCCTAACATCACGAACTATACTACGGAATGACATTCTTGTCGTGGAAAAGAGTACCAAAAAAATTGTGTTATCTTCTTTAAAATCTTCTGATTTCCACTTAGCTTGTGCATATGGCTGGCCACAAACAAAAAGTGACACTATGTCAATTGCCACCAAAAAAAATACTTAATGGAGAACAAGATATAAGATGATATAGGAAAGGCAACAAAAAATTGAAAGAAAAGTAGAAAAGGCAGATTCATATGGGTTACAAAGTAACCTAAAGAACCAAACTTTAAAACCATTTTCAAACTCAAAAAAGGCTAGTTACGGTCTATACGCCATATAAGCAAAGAATGTCCATGGCATCCATCAATATAGACCATAAAATGATAATCTAACTGCATACAGAACAGATTAAGAAGGCATACTGGTGTCAGAAGTATTGGTTAACTTCATCCACTGGAAATCCAATCCCTAGTTTTCCAAGGAGAAAGAAATACAAAGCAAAAGAACCCAAATTTCATAAGAAGAAAAACCATATTTAGGACAACGTATTTTTATAGCAACTTATACACAAATCCTCAAGTAAAAATAACAGATCATTGATACATGATGATAGAGAGAGTATAACAAGGGCAGTCTCAAAATTTAGACCTGACGTTCATAAATAATTTGTTATTTTTATTTTTGTCATGCTATCTTCTTTCCAAATTTGTTGAACTCATTTTAGCAAATGGTGAGGTAAAAGAAGGTGAACTTGCGCATCCACCAAAAACAAAAGCTTGGGACTTACCTGTTAACCAAAAAGCCCAAATTATCCCAGAGCTTAAACTTCTCCACGGCTTAATCACAACAATTCAAAGATCTGCAAAGAACAAGAACATCTTAATGTTAAAAAAGCTTAAGACTTGAGCAGCTAACTTAAACCCTCGACTTTCCTGGGCATTTTCTCAAGAAAACCCAGGTGGGAAAACTAAAAATTGCTCGGAAAATCCTTACAAAGCTTGTTATAATAACAACAAAACCAAAGCAATAATAGATCTGCACCTCAAACATCAGCTGAGCAAAGACAAACTTAACCAACAATCAAACAATCATTTCTGGTTTTTTTTCTTCTTCTATTTTTGGGGTTTGCAAAATAAAAAGAGATCAAGCAGAGCGGAAGAAGAAAAAGGAGGTCAAGTCAGAAAAGTAGAGAACCAACCTTCTTCATTATCATTT